TCTCTTCTGTCCCTGTAAGAACATTTGTCATTGGATTTAGGGCCCACCCAGGTAATCCAGGATGAATCCTTAATTTAATTACATCCACAAAGACTATTTCTCCAAATAAGGTTACATTGGTGGGACTTATGTATTAGGATATGTCATTGGGTGGGGTGGGGGGATCATTTCAAGCCTCTATAGTGTTTGTACTTCCAGAGATCAGAACAAGGCAAAGACGGGCAGATGATTTATTTGGGGGCAGAACCTGATTGGAAAATGGTAATCCCAAGCCTACAGGAGAGAGAATTAAATTGTTTAGTACAAAAGAAAGATGCCTTTGGCAACACTCACATAGTTCATTTGATGCTCAGGATTTGAGAGAGTTTTCTGAGACTTCCTCACCCTTCCTGGTGAGATACCATCCAGCAAAAAGCCTTTACAGGCTTGAGATTTAAAATGAAATAAAAGAAAACAAGTATCTCTGCCAGCCTGCTGGATTGGCCTCAGTGATTGGGGGGGGGGGTGCTTCTCATTGTCACTGTGGTTAATGTTTAATGGGGTCTCACAGTCTTGGGGGCCCATCCTCTGCTAACCTCTGCCATGAGAAGGCAGGTCACAGAGCCCCACTGCCTGTGTTGCTTCCTTTTTCTCTTTTGTTTTCCTCTTATCTGTACTCACTCAGTTTCCAGGGAGATGTTGTTTTTCTCTCTTTTATGATTGAAAGCATTTGGTTGGTTTGATCCCATGCCATGTCGCTTACAGCACGTGCTCTCCACGATTAACATCATCCTCGACGAGCCCGTCCTGAACACCTGGAAGATTTTACAACAGCAACAGACCAACCAGAGTTCACAGCTACTGCATTCAGTGGAACGGTTTTCCCAAGCACTACAGCTAGGAGATAACTCGTCCCTGTCCTTCTCGCAAGAGAATGTGCAGATGAACAGCATGACAATCAAACCTAGCCACCCCAAAACCTATGAACAGAGGTTCGTTTTCTCAGAGGCTGACCTCTGGGGCAATGTGGTCATTGACAAGTGCCAGCTGGGAAACTTGCAGCCAGATTCATCTATCGTCACCGTGGCTTTCCCAACTCTCCAAGCCATCCTTGCCCAGGATATTCACAAAAGGAATTTTGCAAACAACTTAGTGATGACAACCACTATCAGCCACAACATAACCATGCCGTTCAGGATTTCAATGACTTTTAAGAACATCAGCCCTTCACTTGGGGAAACAAAATGTGTCTTCTGGAACTTCAGCCTCGCCAACCACACAGGGGCGTGGGACAGCAGTGGGTGCCATGTTGAAGAAAGTAATGAGGACAATATCACCTGTATCTGTGACCACCTAACATCATTCTCCGTCCTCATGTCCCCTGACTCCCCAGACCCTGGCTCTCTCCTGGGGATACTACTGGATATTATTTCTTACATTGGGTTGGGCTTTTCCATCCTGAGCTTGGCGGCCTGTTTAGTGGTGGAATCTGTTGTGTGGAAATCGGTGACCAAGAACCGGACTTCCTATATGCGCCACGTCTGCATCGTGAACATTGCTGCCTCCCTTCTGGTGGCCGACACCTGGTTCATTGTGGTGGCTGCCATCCAAGACAGTCACTACGTACTCTGCAGGACAGCCTGCGTGGCTGCCACCTTCTTCATCCACTTCTTCTACCTCAGTGGCTTCTTCTGGATGCTGACACTGGGCCTCATGCTGTTCTATCGCCTGGTTTTCATTCTGCATGAAGCGAGCAAGTCTACCCAGAAGGCCATTGCCTTCTTTCTCGGCTACGGCTGCCCCCTCGCCATCTCCATCATCACGGTGGGGGCCACCCAGCCACGGGACGTCTACACGAGGAAGGATATCTGTTGGCTCAACTGGGAGGACACCAAGGCTCTGCTGGCCTTCGTCATTCCGGCGCTGATCATTGTGGTCGTGAACGTGACCATCACGGTTGTGGTCATCACCAAGATCCTGAGGCCTTCCATTGGAGACAAGCCATGCAAGCAGGAGAAGAGCAGCCTTTTCCAGATCGGCAAGAGCATCGGGGTCCTCACACCACTCTTGGGGCTCACTTGGGGGTTTGGCCTTGCCACTGTGTTCCCAGGGAACAACCTGGTATTCCACATCATATTTGCCCTCCTCAATGCCTTCCAGGTGAGTTTTGCAGTGCAGGGCTCTCAGGAAGTTTTTATTCCTGTGGGGAAAATTAATAACAGAAACACAAACGAGAGTAGGAATGGTGAACAATTTAGTCCTGAGGAAGCCTTAGCCCTAAAGAGCAGTAATTATAAGAACTCAATGAGATAGAAAGAACACATTTCTCTGCTTCCATGGAACATCATACCTTCTATTACCTGCATTATAATTTAGTTGCAGAGGCCCGTTTCTTCTAAATGCCCTGATTATGCAAGCACAGGAAAGTCCTGTTTCTATATTGGCTTTTGCTATTTGTTCAAGAGTATCTTGATAGAATCTGTTACCTTCTAAACAAAAATCTTTTGTGAGAACAGGGATTGCATCGTTCTTGTTCATTACTATATCCTTAGCACCTAACAGAGACCTTTGCACAGAGTAGGTTCTCAGTAACCATTTGAATGAAATGAATGCTACTACAACATAATAGGTTCTCTGGAAATATGTGTTGAAAAATCAAAGAATGAAGGCCCTACAAATGTCAGAAAATCTGCTCAATTATACTAAAAAAAGAAAAAAAAAGACATCTTCTTTGCTCTCCTGCAGCACATAACCAATTACAATGCAGACCAGCTTGTTATTAATAGTAGAGCTATCGCAGAGATACAGACAACAAGGCTTTGGAGCACAAAGAAAGGGAGTGATTAATCCAATTTCACCCAGTGGAGAGATGGTAAGGGTGGAAAAACCTGCCCAAGGATACAGGCCCCTGTGAGCTGGTGAGGAGGAGGGGATTGGAGGTGAAACTGAGATATTACTTCCGGTATGCTTTTGCCAAAGCCATGTGAACTCTAATTTCTGCTACTGGGCTCGTGGCTCCAAGCTATAAGGCTCATATCTAATGACCATGGCGTGTCTCAGTTGGAAAGAACTAATTATCCTACCCAAGCCCCAAATTCTCATCACAACCGTGTGAGCAATACTGTAGACATAAGAGGTGGAATGACATAACCAGCAGGCCCTCTAGTTCAGAATCGAAGGGAAATGGAGAAATAGAAAATATCCTCCTAACATCATGACACGTAGAGGCCCTTGGAGTGGATTGACTACCACATACGTACTCATTCCATAAACTCGGATGGGGAAAGAGGCAGTACAACTTCCACACCAGGCTAACACTACTTCCTATTTTACCGGACAACCAAATGTGATTAAAATGTACTTCTTTTTAATCTTTTTTTCTCAGGGATTATTCATTTTACTCTTTGGATGCCTGTGGGATCTAAAGGTAAGAACAATGACAGTTTCATGCTTCTAGAAAAGTCTAAAGTGCTCATGGTGTGTTTAAATCGTGATAACTTCTTTTCAACAATGCAGGTGCAGGAAGCTTTGCTGAATAAGTTTTCATTGTCCAGATGGTCTTCACAACACTCCAAGGTAAACCTTTTCTCTGCAGGGACTTTCCATCTTATATCCTCATGGACTCCACTAGTATGAGGAAGTAGAAAGCACTAAATTTTTACCTTCGGATTTTGGACAATGGGGCTGAGTACGGTGCATGCTGAAGCCCCCCTCTCCCCACGACTAGGGTTGGCATAGATTGTTCAGCTGTCTTTGCTTCTGCCTCATTCTGCCTGCTGAGCTCTTGATAGGATGCTACTCCACATCCTTAAATAGATATTTAAGTAAGTGATGATATAAACTTAAGGTTAAAATCAAACTTTCAATGAGAAATAATTTTCTGGGGAAATTCAAGGCAATAGAGAAAACAATTTGAGGAATAATATCAGATAGAATTTTCTATAGTTCATTTTGTTACATAGCTGTTGCCCTTGAATATATTTGACTGCCATTCACGTGTAGTAAGATGCTAAAAACCTATTAAATAATAAAACATGTATTTGAAGTAAATTTTTCTAATACGGATGGTAAGATTCTATTAATAATATCTCGATGCAGCCTGAAGGGGTGAGGATAGAGATGTGGGAAGTGACCACTAGAGGGCGGCAAACCAACCTCCAACCTAGAAATCAAAACAGCCTTTGTCTAACATGAGAAGTAATTGCTTTGTGATTGACTTTGTTTCTCTCTTCAGTCAACATCCATAGGTTCATCCACGCCTGTGTTTTCTATGAGTTCTCCAATATCAAGAAGATTTAACAATTTGTTTGGTAAAACAGGTACGTTGTGGCCTCTAGGTGCTCCCTGGTTGACCAGAACAAATTTGCTCTGATGGGGAGACTCGAGGCTGCTACCCTCCCATCCCCACTCATGGCATTTACCCGCCGCCATCTCCTTTGGGGTCGAGCTGAAATATAGGGACTTGCTCACATTTTCATAAATCACCAAAAGGTGGGGACAGAAGGCAGCTGCCTTCAGTGAGCAACTAATAACTCACGAGGAGTAAGATTCAGATAATCTACACACGCCTTCGGAGAGCTGACTGTCAAAATATCAGCCCTAAAGATGGAAACTGTAAATTGCTGACCATGTCAAACACAGAGTTCTTTTCAACTAATGTTAAATAGAAGCCATGTTTCTGGGTTATGGTGCAGCAAAGAATATATTTAGAATATGTTTAGAAAATTCCACTACAGAATCTCTGTAGGTTTGTTTTCCTTTTTTTTTTCCTTTTTATCGAATGTGCTTGTTTTACATAACGACATTTGTGAAACTGTGCATGAATATATGAGGGACCACCCACGTTAGCTATTCTATTAGAAATATTCACAGTTAAATTTCTACCTTGGAGATATGACATAAATGGCGTTAATGACTTTGGGCGATAAGTCTCTGCTATTCTGCCAAATTGAAACCCTTGTTCCATGTCCCCATCTCCCACTCACAGGAAAATAAGCCCTGGAATTCCTTCCGGCTTTTTGAAACTGAACAGATCTCACCAATGCAGAGTCTAGAAATCTGTCAATATCCCAGAACAAGGTTTTTTCATATAAAAGAAAATTTGGGGAATGCCCACAATCATTGAAACTCCAGAGGACTTAGTGTTTTCTGCTTCAATCTGATGCATTCCTCATGAAACTGGTAGACTTCTGCTTTTGATTTTGAAAGTCACTAATTTGACCTGTTGTCGAGTGATCAAATCTTCAGAGTGTACTGGAACTATTGCACCTGGCTAGCGCTGTCACTGAAACGTGTTTACCACGTGCATGACAGTGAAAATAATGAAAGCACTATTAAATAATTCCACAGAATTAGAATTATGCACTATATGAAGCCAATAAAATGTTTTCCTAGGTTCTGAATCAGTCAGATGAAAGTTGAAGTGTGTGCAAGCTCTATTCCCAAGGTACCAAGGCCCGAGGTCCCCGGGCATTGCCACTGGATAGCCACTCAGGGTCATTAATGCAGCCCCCCTGGCCGGTTTGAGGGTTTCATAAGCACTGTAACTTTGGTTTATGTCATCAGCAGCCCCAAAGGTCCCCCCAGGCAATGATGGAAACCTTGTTAGCAGTGGCAGTTCTCCAATCTGATGGTAGGGTGGGCACTTCGACCCCTCCCTTGCCCACCACACACTTCTACCCTCTCTCTGTGCACAGTCCCTACCACGCTGCAGACACGAGCCTGTGCAGTTGCTCCGAGGCTGCCCTCCTTGCTGCCCTGATTCTCAGCACTTTTCTTGGCATTCCTGACTTCTGCTTCTTTTCTGGTCCTGCCTTTTCTTCCCCTATAATTTTCTCTTTTGTTTCCTTTTCTGCCCTTTCCAACCCTTTGCCTTCAGCATATCCTCCAGGTCCCTCCCAAGAGCTTCCCCATAATTCCGGGGGACTAGGGAGATTCCCTCCTGCAGATGTCCCCGGGCCCATGCATGTGTTGGCATGTGGAGAGGCTGCCCACCTTGGGGTCTTCCTGTCCTTTGTAGAAATCTGGCTGCTGGTATGATGTGACGTAGTAGTTAGTGCTTGTTGGCCGCCCCGCATGCATGAGAACGACAGCTCTGTTTGTTCTCTGGCACTCCTGGGTCTAGGGAGGAGGGCAGGCATGGGTGGTTTCCAGGCATGGCCACGCTTACCTGGCTCCTGGACCAGAGCTCCCCTGTGTTCATCAGGAGATGTTCACACCCCAAAGTCCACGAAGGCTTGACTTTAAGGCTGAGCTGCTCTGTTTTTCAGGAACGTATAATGTTTCCACCCCAGAAACAACGAGCTCCTCCGTGGAAAATTCATCTAGTGCTTATTCATTGCTCAACTAAGAACAGGAAAATCCAACCCATGTGACCTCTTGGGAACCGTGGATGTGCTTTAAAAAAGGAGATCGCTCCAAAGCTGCCAGTAACATGCTCTCTGCACAGGTTTCTGGGAACAGATGCTGAAAAGACTTTTTCCTTAGAGAAGAGGCTTTCTTCTGTAAAGACAGACTAAAAGGAATCGTTCTGTTTATTTTTGTTGCCCTACCCCCACCCCTTAATGTGATACTAAATGTGTATAGTATTTAAGTGAAATGCAAACCCCCCAAGCCCAACTTCTCTGTCTATATTGTAATATAGAATTTTGAAAAGACATATTTACTTTTCACATGATGGGCACAATGATAAGCTTTTATTGCAATAATAAGTAAGAGGCTAGTACCTAGGAAATACTACAGTGAAATCTAAGAAGGAAGGAAGGAAGACAGGAAGGAAGGTAAGGAAGAGAGGAAGGGAGAGAGGGAAGAAGAAAAAGAGAAAAAAGAACAAAGAAAAGACTAAAGAAAAACAAGATTAAGAGCCACATTTTAAGATTTCCATGTTAATGATCTAATATGATCACTCAGATACTGCAACATGGAGAATTAAAGAAAAAAAAGGCTCAGAATTGGAAACCGAAAGTAAGCTGGGGGAATGAGTTCGGTATCTTCCTGATATCTTCTTAGCTGAGAGGAGGAAAAAAGACAGTGCAAAAAGGAGGGAGGAAATGACATCAAAGGATGCTTTCAAGTGGATGATATTATAATATTTATAAGAAATGGGTGGAAGGAGACATGATTCTCCTGATGCCAAACACACACATATATACCTTTGTGTGTTAAGGTTTCAGCTACGTGCAGTGAATATGCAGAGGAAGTATAAGAAAGACACTTTATCAGATCCAAGCGATCCAACTACTGATTAAATTTTTTATAGTTTATCAGAAAAGTGTTCTACTTTAGTTTGTTCCATATTCTGAAAGCCAGAAATACACATTTTTGTACCCTTTCATTGCCAAATTTGATACATTGCACTGAAATCAGACCCTAATTGTCATATATTTAACAGCTTTAACCAGGTACTTCTCTGTGCATTATAGAATAGATTTTAATGATCTTCGAGCATTGTATATTGTTATTGTTGTTACTGTTACTGTGGATAATGGCCCGCGGTGTGTTGTACAGCTCTCTATGTATTATCTCTTTCAGTCTTTAAATTCCCAGACCAATACACCGTAAGAGTTTCACACGGTCTAAGTTGTGTTTATTCCAATCACTTGGAAAGCTTCCGGAAAGAAATCTTACATCTGGCTATTCTGTGGCCCTAATGACATTTTACCTTGACGAACAAATGGCAGGGCCTTTCCCAAGGATTTCATTGTTTGTGAATTAACCATGTGTGTGTCTTTCATTTAAAAATACAAATATTTATTAAAATTGCACTCATGTTAGAGGTAACCATGTGCCATATATTCCAAACGAAAATCTGATCCCAAAAGGACAATACAAATGTGGGGCTGCTCAGGACGCGTGGGCCATGTGGCCTTCCTGAGGACGGAGGACATTGACGGGCCCCGCCATTAGGAAGGTGGGATAAAAGAGGCTGAGATTCAGCAACCATTTGTTTACTGAGGTTGAAAAGAGTTTTATTTTGATATTTTAATCCTTTAAATCTTCCTTTTATTTTTAATTTTAAATTATACTTCTGCCTCTCTTTTCCTCTTGGGGAGGGAGAAATGGGACAGATAGATGTTCTAATAATGCTTAAGATAAATGAATTCCACCAGGTGCCCCGGTGGCTCACGCCTGTAATCCTAGCACTCTGGGAGGCCAAGGCGGGAGGATCGCTTGAGCTCAGGAGTTAGAGACCAGCCTGAGCAAGAGCAAGACCCTGTCTCTACTAAAAATAGAAAAAATTAGCCGGGCATGGTGGCACATGCCTGTAGTCCCAGCTACTCGGGAGGCTGAGGCAGAAGGATCGCTTGAGTCCAGGAGTTTGAGGTTGCTGTGAGCTAGGCTGATGCCACAGCACTCTAGCCTGGGCAACAGAGTAAGACTCTGTCTCGAAAACAAAACAAAACAAAAAAAGATAAATGAATTCCTTATTTCTACATATTCACAAACAGCACAGACATCCACTTCCATGCTCACCTAAGAACTGTCACACCCCTGTTCCAATGAAGTAATGCTTCATTACTTAAAGTCCCTGAAGGAAATGACTCTTAGGCTATAAATATGAGCCAAGTTCTCCAGGGAATGATGAACTTTGGGCAGAGCTTGGTACTGAGAAGACAGAGACAGAGGTTAGATCGGGGAATCACTTGAATTAAAATTAGATATTAGAGAAAGAAGGACTTTAATGGGTTAAATCAAGGAGAAATGTGGCAGGGTTAAGGCACAGTGTTATTTAGCAGGGCAATCTTGACATGATCAACCAAGGAACGGACAGCACCCAGGACGAGGCCGTGGTTTTCATGTTCAAAAACACAACAGGACAGGAAACACTGAGCTTCCACCGGCTTCAGTAGGGATTCCCTTGGGAGTCATTGCGTGTGGACTTATGAAGGGAACCTCCATGAAAGCAGGAACCTTCCATGGAGTTCCACAGGATGCACATCTGGCCCTCTGCCCACATTTGCTAACTGAGGCATGTTCCCTTATCCCCAACACACACATAAACACACACATGTGCACACATGCTTACACATGTGGGTGTGTGTGAGACTTCACCCTTTCAGGCCACAGCACTGAATGCAAATTCTAGAAAAGCTGTGAAGACAAAGGATTAGAGAAACACTTGCTGGTCTTCTGTCCACTGCAACACACACAGCTCAGCCCCTACCCTTTCCCAAGAATATCCTAAAACAAGCAGTAGAATTCAAAATTGTAGAAGAGAACAGTCGATGAATGTGTGAGTTACATGAAAGCAGGAGACTCGCTTGGGCCTGAGGCCACCAGTTCTCAATCAGCAACGATTACGTGGCCATCAGTGGCGGATTTCTGAGGGAAGGAGGCCCAGTGACCCCAGGTCGTGCGATCTGCTTTGCTCGTAAAGCACCCAGTGCCTCCCCGTGTTTCCGGCGTCTCTCAGTGTGCAAAGTCGGTTGCGTGGCCAAAACTCTCCTGCCTTAAGGGACCTCCCATTACGTCAGTTTCCTGCAGAGGGATCTACGCTAATGCTCCTAGGTTGTGCGGGTGGAACATTCGCGAATGAGCAACTGGCGCAATCTACAGAAATCTTCTCTGGGATGGTTCTAAGTCCAGAGCCGCATGTCATCTCTCGAATGAATCATGTGTCTGCCCTCCGCCTCTGCATGTCTTATTGTTTATACGGGGAAAGAGGAAAATACGGCCATGGGGCTTTCAGGATATAGGTTGCTAAGGCCAGAAATTAAGAAACACTGTGGGAAGTCATAGCCTTTTGTGGTTTATTTAGAGAACTTCAGGGAAATCTGTGTTGGAAGATTTCAGAAAAAAAAAAAGTTACGTGGAGATGAGAATGATTAGAGCAATCAGTAAATGCTGGAGGGAGGTGGGGTGTTATTCTGAGAGGAATGGAGCAGAAAGTCAAGATCACTTGAGAACACAAAAGGAAACAGCGGCGTCCCAGAAATGCCATGTATGTGGAATGCATTTGATTTGTGTCGCATGATGGTGAAGTCAGATGGGGCCTCTGCACCCCAAAGAGAAAGCCTGTGACCCAGGCCCGTAAAGTCTGATTCTCCGAGTGTCCAAAGTAAACGAGGGGCTTACAGTGGACATACCTCCCTTAAGTGTTTCTTAAAAGATAATGGAAATAGTGTCTCATCATTTCAAAATGAATGTTAGCTTTGAAATTAGATGTTATGGTTTCCAAAATTATGACTTGGGGTTTGAAATAATGTATTAATAGTATGTGAGCATACAGCTGTGTTTCCTTTCCATACTTATGACAATAAAATATCAAATGAGATCTTGCGAGCTTTCTTCGTACAGATTGTCCGCTCTTTCTCAATATGCTGCTGTTGCTGTTTCAGGCTTACCCATGTCCCCCAGCATTTAACTCCATGCTCTGAGGAGTGAATGACCCTCTCCACCTTCCAGGCATGGGGGATACAGGAGGCTCGAGACTGAGCTCAGCTGGCAGAGAGGGCTGATGGCTTCCCTCACACCATCCATACTCCCCAGCAGTGTGTGACGTTCCAACATGTTACAGAGAGTTTAAACAGGGGTCCTTGAAGTAATGCTTTCAGAACCTAATTGTCTGGGAAACGAATAAACAGATGCCTATTCCAACATTTGTGTGTGGCTTGGTTGGAATTTTCATTGACAGCTGAAAATAGAGCCCTCATGTCCTGTGTAGATCAATATCAGAACCAAGTTTCTTAAGTTTCCTACTTGTAGTGAAAACAGAGTGAATAGAGGAAGAAAGGAGGGAAGACAGGCCCGTTACTGAAGCCCACTCTGTGCCAGACACCTGTTATGTCTCCAAATATCACTCCCCTGTGTCGGGCACGGGCATGGGGAGCCGCGGGCGTGGTGTCCCACGACTTAGATACCATCGTCCTGTCTATTGTTAAATGATTTCATAGATACTCATTCTTCCCCTTTACCTGTAAACTTTGAGATGGATGAGTCGAAAGGTCACCGGTGTCCATAGCAGGCCCCTCTGCACAAATGGGGCGCGGTAGGAGATACGTAAACCCACTCGCACCCCAGGGTTTGCATTCTCTCATGCAGAACCAAGGAAAGTATGCTGGTGACTATTAAAGACTAAACAAACCCAGGAGGCTAGAGGAAAAAAAAGGCCCATTCCCAGCATGAAAGGCAGGCAACAGGAACTGATTGGGCGAGTCATGGAGAGATTGCTGTTACAGCCCACTTCCCACGACATTAAACAACAAAACCCAGGAATGACTTTGGGCCATGCCTTTTCTGGAACCAATTTTGATTGGTACCATCCTCGGTCTTCCATCCTGCCAAGCAGCCCCCACCGCCAGCAGTTGTGGGAAGAGGTGTTTGATTTTGATGAACCGGGGAAAATTGTACGCCCATGTACTGTGTTTCCTGGAACTGTGGGCGTTTTCCCATGCTCCGGGAGCTCCCTCACAGCTGTCCTGGTCAAAGTAGTCCTGGCAGGAATCTCCAGCTGGGCTAGAGCAACAGCAGGCCCCACCGAGTCTGCCCGGCAACCGGGCCTCTCCTGAGGCTTGACCGCCACCTGGTGGACGTCGGAGGAAGCGCCGCGTCTGAGGAGAGGCCCAGAGTGGAACATGGGAGAGGCAGTGTCAGTCCCGTAGGTGACCTACCTGGTGGGCAGCACACAGGGGTATGCTATTGGACGGTAGAAACCAGGAATGAGAGACTCATTCTCACTTGCCACCTCCTAACTCGTCCTTGCAGGGGAAAAGGAAGTCAGAAGGCCGTGCAGTCACGTGGCTTCAGTGTGCAGAGTGGATTTGCAGGCAGGCATTGTTTCTGAGCCACACTACCTGGGACAACTGCC